GTTTTCTTCTAGGGTTTTTATGGTCTTAGGTCTAACATTTAAGTCTCTAATCCATCTTGAATTAGTTTTTGTATAAGGAGTAAGGAAGGGATTCAGTTTCAGCTTTCCACTTATGGCTAGTCAGTTTTCCCAGCACCATTTATTAATTAGGGAATCCTTTCCCCATTTCGTGTTTTTGTCAGGTTTGTCGAAGATCAGATGGTTGTAGATGTGTGGTATTATTTCTGAGGGCTCTGTTCTGTTCTATTGGTCTATATCTCTGTTTTCTTACCAGTACCATGCTGTTTTGGTTACTGTAGCCTTGTAGTATAGTTTGAAGTCAGGTAGCGTGATGCCTCCAGCTTTGTTCTTTTGACTTAGGATTGTCTTGGCAATGCGGGCTCTTTTGTGGTTCCATATGAACTTTCAAGTAGTTTTTTCCAATTCCGTGAAGAAAGTTATTGGTAGCTTAATGGGGATGGCTACTACAGTTTTTAAATCCAGTCATCTGCTGGGTTGTTTCCACCTTTTGACAATTGTGACTAAAGCTACTATTAACATTTTTTGTTTGTTTGTTTTAAGACGGAGTCTTGCTCTGTTGCCAGGCTGGAGTGCAGTGGCACGATCTTGGCTCACTGCAAGCTCCACCTTCTGGGTTCACGCCAATCTCCTGCTTCAGCCTCCCGAGTAGCTGGGACTACAGGCACCTGCCACCACGACCCGCTAATTTTTTGTATTTTTAGTAGAAATGGGGTTTCATTGTATTAGCCAGGATGGTCTCAATCTCCTGACCTTGTGATCCACTCACCTCAGCCTCCCAAAGTGCTGGGATTACAGGCGTGAGCCACTGCACCTGGCCAACATTTTTTTTAAAACAGAAGTTAAATGCTTATAAAAACTTAATGGTAATGCAGTATTGCCTAAGGCTTTGCCATTTAATAATATAAATATCACATTAATGATAACTTAGAGCCTCACTCAGTTTTCATATGCTTAACTTCAGCCTTTTCCTTTATTGAATGAAAATGGAGGGACTTGATTGTTGGTGTTTTTTAAGAGTTGGGTTCTTACTCTGTCACCCAGACTGGAGTACAGTGGTGCAGTCACAGCTCACTGCCACCTCCAACTCCTGGGCTCAGGGAATCCTCTTGCCTCAGCCTCCTGAGTAGCTGGGACTACAGGGATGCACCAGCATACACAGCTGAAAATGGAGGAACTTGGAAAAAATACTCTTTATTATAACCTATTTGGTCTTGACTTTTGAAATAATTAGGATTGGATTTAAAATTTGATCCTGGAATAGCCATAAATGATGATTATTCCAGGAAAAGTAAATATTGGTGCACCCAAGTAAATGCTTAATAGATTCAAATTTTATTAAATAAACTAAAATGTGCTTTAGAACCTGCATTCACAGTTTAGTACTTCATTGGTTTTACTTTACTTGGCAGCCAAATGTTTATCATAGTGACGATGGGAATATGCCGATGAGAATTATTATAAAATTCTGTTTTGGCCAATTAAAATTGTTACTCCAAGAATGTAAGACTTAGAGCAAAAATTTATAATAAATCCTAAAGAGAAAAGATACACATTCAGCACTGTTCCTCCATAGATCTTGCTAGGACGTAACCTATAGTCAAGGTTTTTTGTTTTGTGTAACAATATTTAGCAATGAGATTGCCAAGTTATCATTGTTATTTGACCATTTAAAATGCCAAACTATCCTCACTGGTTTTCCTTTACCTGGCAGGGAAATGTCTGAGTTATCATAGTGACTACTGGAGACGTGCCAGTGGGAACCCACTCCCACTAGGTACAAAAGAACAAATGCTACAGCAAATTAACCTGAAGGAAAAATCAACATTTGGCTTAAATAGGAATACGTATTTAAAAAGCACCAGAGGCCAGGTGCAATAGCTCACACCTGTAATCCCAGCACTTTGGGAGGCTGAGGCAGGTGGATCACTTGAGGTCAAGAGTTCAAGACCAGCCTGGCCAAGAAGGTGAAACCTTGTCTCTACTAAAAATACAAAAATTGCCCAGGCATGGTGGTGGGCGTCTGTAATCCTGGCTACTTGGGAGGCTGAGGCAGAAGAATCACTTGGACCTGGGAGGCCAAGTTTGCAGTGAGCCAAGACTGCACCGTTGCACTCCAGCCTGGGCCACAGGAGTGAAACTTCTTCTCAAAAATAAATAAATAGCACCAGAGTATTTAAATTATGCATTGTCACTTGGTTTTGAAGAATAACTGTTATGTGTTGAATCTGTATATATCATACATTTTTCTGCTTGCATTACAAATTTCCTATTGACATAAGAAAAGCTTTGAGGTTTAAAATATGTATCTTTGTGGATTATACCAATTATAGATACCTAAAACATGAATAAACATGTTAACCAGAATACAAGGAGACAGAATTCTCTTTCATCACAGAGAGAATTCAGTGATTCAATGCTGTCAAATCCCTCATGTTGGAGACAATTTTAGGAAAGCAGAAGAAAGAGTGTTTCCCCCATGACATGGATCCGAGGCCCTGTATTGCAAATGCAGGAAGCATTGGCTATGCTGAAAGAAGCTCCTTGTCATATTCATAATTTCCCAGGGAGAGATGAAATAGAAACTGCTCTCGCCTGAGCTCATATGTCATCCTAAATGCTACCTGTGAGACCACTAGGACCTTCCACGAAAAATGCTTCCACCCTGACTCCCTCACTTGGCCATCAGGCATAATGTAGAACCTTGGCATTTTTCTAAAAATTCAGGAAAGGGGAAATCAAAGCAGACATCAGCTTCACAAATGATATATTAATCAGGGCTCAAATATGAAAATTATTATTATTATTGTTAGTCGGAGTCTCGCTCTGTTGCTCAGGCTGGAGTACAATGAAGTGATCTCGGCTCACTGCAACCTCCCCCTCCCAGGTTCAAGCGAGTCTCCTGCCTCAGCCTCCGGAGTAACTGGGATTACAGACGCCTGCCACCATGCCTGGCTAATTTTTGTATTTTTAGTAGAGATGGGGCTTCACCATGTTGGTCAGGCTGGTCTCAAACTCCTGACCTTGCAATCCACGTGCCTCAGCCTCCCAAAGTGCTGGGATTACAGGCTTGAGTCACTGTGCCTGGCCAGAAATTATGTAATGATAAAACTAGAGTTAAGTTTATGGGAAGAAAAGAAAGAAGTATTCGTTTTCTTTTAGCAAATGAATACATTTAAGGCTGTGGCTCGGGTCCTGCCTTGCCTGTGGGTTGAGGTGAGATGTGTCCAGTGCTCCCCGCTACTCTTGCAAACAGGACCTAAATATTCTGCGGAGAGGCATTCTTTCTGGCTGCTGGTCATTTTCCATAAAAACACACTTTACTATTTAGGCATTACATTCCTAATGCCTTTATTATTTTTTCTTCTTCACAAAGAATTACATTGAAATATAAATAAGTTTTCACCTTCTTTCCAGGTGTGCATTCAGACAGTCCCAGTCATTCAGGAGGCTGAGGTGTGAGGATCTCTTGAGCCTGGGAGTTCAAGGCTGCAGTGAGCCATGATTGCATCACTGCACTCCAGCCTGGGTGACAGAGTGAGACCCTGTCTCAGAAACACAGTTAATTCTTTTCTTTTTGCTCATATATAAATTGTACTTTTTAAAAAATATTTAAATATCATTTAGAGCAAATCCCCTTGTGGCATGTTTGTGATTGCTGCTTTGGTACTTGAGACTCAGCCAGGTCTGTTTTGTTCTAAACAACTGCTGGGATCTGTCTTGTTTTTTCAGCGATTTGTACATTGATTCTCCTGGTCATTTCTTTTACCCCTGTGTATAATAGCACAAACCTGGGAATGTTAGAGAAGACACATGAATGGGCATTTAAAATACGTTCAGAAGCACAGTAACTATTAAAACTAGCATGGCTTTCAAACATGATGATGATTAATAAAATTGTGGCTTTTATTTTCCAAACAGGAAATGCTATGAATTTTAGTGCACCGAAAACCAGTGTGTAACAGAGAGTGCAGCCTGACTGAAAGATTTTTAAATTTTGTTTAAAACAGTGTCATAGTGTAGGAAACCAGAAGGAATTGGAAACACAAATGAAAGAAAGAGACTGCTCCCTGCAACTTTTAGCCATGAGAGTAACAGTACACATTTAGATAGAAAAGGCTATGAGATTCCAAAAAATTCAAAGAGAGTATTGAGTTTCAGAGAATAGCAGGATATAACCCAGTCCTTGGTGGTCACCTGAACCATGTTATGATTGTTTTTAACATGGAAGGAAGAAGACTCTGCTCTCTTTTTAAAAACCTGCTGTTGAGCTATGTACTCTCTGTCCCAGCCGATAGTCACAGCCTTGTCCTTACTGTGAGCAGAGTGAGGAACTGATCATCTCACTAGTGTGCAAGCTCTCAGACTTGTTCTTTACTAGAGTAGGTGCAGTCTGGGTGCAGTGATGGTTTCTCTCTGTGCCCAGAGGGCGGCTCCCTCCTTCACTGCCAGGACAGATGTCAGTGTGTGTTCTCCCAGCCAGTAGGACAGATGCAGTCAGTGAACAACACAAACATAGACACACACACAGACACCTTCCTCCCTCAGCAACCCCAACGCCTGACAACAGAGATGAATCATGCTACTCAAAGTAGAAAGTTGCCATCAGTAAGTGAAACTGACAAAAGGGTATCTTAAAAGACAATTGCTTCAAATTTAGTATCTGTAAAGAAATATGCAGCTGATTATGGAGTTGATGAAGAAGTAAACTGCGTGATATAAAGGGGAACATAATAAACATATTAGTAATAATTAAAGGGAACATAATGAATTTCATTATATAAATGTTTTCTTTTTCTATAAGTTAATATATAAAGGACAATAGCATGGAATTAAAGGTGTTGTGTTTTTATTCAAAAATGACTTTTTTTTTTTAAACAGAGCCTCCCTCTGTTGCCCAGGCTGGAGTGTAGTGGCATGATTTGGCTCACTGCAATCTCCACCTCCTGGGTTCAAAAGATCCTCATGCCTCAGCCTCTTGAGTAGCTGGGATTACAGATGCCGAGCCACCACACCCAGCCAAGAATATTTTCAAAAGCATGTCTCTCAGGCTATAAAAATTGAAGTTGAAATTAAGCAATAAAGTTTATAGCCTGAAGCAATTAGGTCAATGAAAATAATAAGTATTCATTTTATTTCTAAGTAAAAGAGATAAATCAAAGGCTAATAAAACATTTCATTTGGGATAACTTTCTTTTAAGATGGCTTTCATTCTGATTTTGCTGTTACTTTCAGATCAGTTAATATGTAGAAGACGACTACAATTTGTGTTGAGATTTAGAGTATAAACCAAGTCTCATTTCATTAACTAATACAGACCAACAGGTTGGTTAAGAAAGGAACCATTAATTTAACAAAGAGAGTTGTCCTAAACTGTGACAAGTTTTCCAGTACTTAATTCTTTTTTTTTTGAGACGGAGTCTCACTCTGTCGCCCAGGCTGGAGTGCAGTGGCCGGATCTCAGCTCACTGCAAGCTCTGCCTCCCGGGTTCACGCCATTCTCCTGCCTCAGCCTCCCAGGTAGCTGGGACTACAGGCACCCGCCACCACGCCCAGCTAATTTTTTGTATACTTAGTAGAGATGGGGTTTCACCATGTTAGCCAGGATGGTCTCGATCTCCTGACCTCATGATCCGCCCGTCTCGGCCTCCCAAAGTACTAGGATTACAGGCGTGAGCCACCGCACCCGGCCGTAATTATTTTTACAACTCATTAGTTTTTTTAAATGGCAAATAAAATTGAATATATGTTATGTAAAACCTGTTTAGAAATAAGCAGATTGTGGAATTATTACATTGTGCTCAGGAACATATGCATACTTATTTTTTGTGGTGAGAACACTTCTTGATTTTCAAGAATACAATACATTAACTGCAGTCACCATGTTGTGCAATGCATCCCTTAAACTTATTCCTCCTGTCTAACTACAATTTTGAATGCTTTCACTGTCTCCCCAAACCCCTGCCTCTCAGCCCCTGGTAACCTCCATTCTACTCTCTGCTTCTGTGAGTTCCATTGTTTGACATTCCACATAAGTCAGATCACGTGGTAGTTGTCTTTTTGTGCCTGGCTCATTTCACTTAACACAATGTGCTCCGTTAACCTCCTGTGAATCCCAGTTTCTAACCTGCAATTGCTCTTAACTGTTTTCATTCCCTTTTCATGGTTTCTACTAAGAATTCCAGAGCTCAGCTGCAAGGTTTTCACTGCTTTGGAAGTTATTCACTGTTTTTCTTTACTTCTTATCCACGGACACACAAATAAATTGTCCAGTGCGAGTGCAGCGGCTGTATGCCCTTCCTGTGAAAGCAGGCCGGTTTGACATCTATTAAGCAAATCCATCTCAGCATTCTTAACAGCCTTTATAGTGTTTGATATCAAGCTCAGCAATTTAAAAAATATGCCTCTGTCTCTGTAAGACTACCTGGGTTGGAGAAGATTTATGTAATATTCAACCCAGCAGATAATGTATATAAAAATTACTTCATATGATTTAATGATCTTGAATTGTTTATATGTCAAACTTTGAAAAAGCAGGGCAATTATAAAATTTAATAATGACATCTCCATAAAAAGCAATAATTCATATTCTACTTTAAAAATCTTTTCTCTTATGTAGAGGAGTAAGTGGCATCCTAGTGGCACCAGAAGGATGTATTGGTGAGCTTGTGCAGTGGTCGTCACTAAGTTAACGCATGTTGCTTTATTTGACTGACACTGATGTTCCCATCTTAGCTTCCGGCAGTTAGGTGGGCAGAAAACCCAAAGTCAGTAACTTTGAACAGTTCCATCAATGTTACTAACTCAAGGGCCAAAGTGATGGATTAAACGGCCAGTTGAGTCAATCTCTGGTTCACCCTCATGATGACAGAATGCTTTTAGGTAGTGAGGCAGTGCTTATTCTCAAGGTAGCCTCCCTTCCCCTCATGCATTACCTGGTGTTTGTGGGCAACAGTGTGCATCCTCTATACATGCCTGGGGTTTTGGGTGTGGAAAGGGTGTGCTGGGGTATACCCTGGGGCCTCTGCAAGTGCCTGACCCATAGATGCTCCCTGGGGCCTGGTAACTGGGTGCCCTGGTGGCTTACAGTGTGGAAGTTGGAGACTTCACCATAATCTGTGGCCTGAGCTTGGCCTCAGGGGATATTCCTGGGTGATGTCAGCTATACATCCTCCTTACACCATGTCACAGGGGAGCAGCGACTCTCTGAGATGGTGCCATGGGTGGTGAAAGAATTTACCAAGACAGTTGTAGGTAAAGAAAGGCAGATTTATTGGACACCACAGAGCTTATGTGTTTGTGGTGATGTGGGTGTGAACATACAATTATGTATAGTGCATAACGCTTGATGAAAATAATAAATGATGTTAATGTTTTATGTATTTAATATCGTATACTTTTAAATTGTTATTTTAGAGTATATGTTTACTACTCTTTTTTTAAGTTAACTGTGAAGCAGCCTCGGGCAGGTCCTTCAGGAGGTTTCCAGAAGAAGGCATTATTATCAAGGAGATGACAGCTCCATGCCTGTTACTGCCCCTGAAGACCTTCCAGTGGGACAAGATGTGGAGGTAGAGGACAGTGATATTGATGCTCCTGACCTGCTTAGGCTTAGGCAAATGTGTGTGTTTGTGTCTTGGTTTTTAAAAAAAGGTTTTAAAAGTAAAATAAATAAATAATAGAAAAAAGCTCATAGAATAAGGTTAAAAAGAAAGAAAATATTTTTGTATAACTATATAATTTGTGTGGTTTTTTGTTTATTTGTTTGAGACAGGGTCTCACTCTGTCACCCAGACTAGAGGGCAGTGGCACAATCACGGCTCACTGTAGCCTCGACCTCCTGGGCTCCAGAGCTCCTCCCACCTCAGGAGGACATCAGTCCTCCAGACAGACATCAGGCCCCGGTGGACACCAGGCCCCAAGTGGGACACAAGCCCAAGGCAGACATCAGGCCCTAGGTGGACATCAGGCCTGAGGAGGACATCCGGCCCCTGGTGAACATTAGGTGCAGGTGTCCAAGCAGGCCCTGAGTGGACATAACGGTGTCTAGGTAAGGAGTTGACCTTGGAGGAGGGTGAGCAGTCAGTAGCCCAGTGGAGTCCTGAGTAGGTCTTACGGAAGGAAGGGGCCGTGGGGATGGAAACTTAAAGAAGCAAACTCACTTACTTGATGACAGACCCGAACAGAACTTAGAACTCTAGTAACCAGGTGCCCATATCCTAGAGTCAGCCCTGTGGCCAGCTTACTTGGTGAGAGACGCTCAAAAGAGAGAGATGTTCTCATGTTGCATCCCCACTTCCCAAGGCTGCGCCTTCAGGAATGGCAGAAGAGCCTTTTCCGACGATGCTGACGAAGGCTTATCCCTCACCCCAGACGCCTGTGGCCCTTTGTAAAAACCCGCACCCAGGTACCACAGGGCAGCCTCACCTCACCGGAGATCCCATCGGGCCTGCATCTGCACGTTGTCCTTGTCCAAGAGGAGATTCGGGAGCCTATATGGGCACAGGCACATGGTGAGGTGGCCTGCAGTCTGGAAGGCTTTGTGGGGTTGGTGCTTTTCAGCTGGAATTCCTTTAAATTCAGTGAGGTTGTTTCTGTGTTTGGAAATTCCAGAGGAAAGTGATTGACGTTGGTGATCTTTCTCCTTTTTCAGCTCCTGCCGCACGTGCAGAGAGAGGGGAACTTCCAGCGCCCCTCTGTGGAGCCAGAACCCACAGCATGGGAGGGGCCCCTCCAGAGGCCATGCTGCAGCTAGAGCAGCAGCTCCAGAGCCCTCCGGGCCCTGCACCGGTACAGCCAAGGACCAGCCCAGTGAGGAGCTGCCCGACCTCAGGCCACCTGCCGTAGTCACTGGCCTCAGCCCTGGAGCTGAGAATATGGCTGGAGATAGAGGTGTTTGAGGGCTGGAATTCCTTTAAATTCAGTGAGGTGGTTTCCATGTTTGGAAATTCCAATGGAAAGTGACTGACGTGGGTGACCGTTTCCCCTTTTTCAGCTCCTGTGCCATGTGCAGAGAGAGAGGAACTTCCAGCGCCCGCTGTGGAGCCAGAGCCCACGGCACGGGGAGGGCCCCCTCTAGAGACAGCGCTGCAGCTAGAGGCAGCTCCAGAGCCCTCCGGGCCGTGCACCGGTACAGCCAAGGACCAGCCCAGTGAGGAGCTGCCCGACCTCAGGTCACCTGCCATAGCCACTGGCCTCAGCCCTGGAGCTGACAGCGTGGCTGGAGATAGAGAGGGGGTGGCCAGCACCACCCTAGACAGCAGCTCCCACACTGCCCCTAGTCCCGGGCATGGTGGGAGCCATGCAGTCAGAGACCAGGGTATGCAGCCTCGGCTCATCTACCTCACTGGAAAGAGGCTTATTTTATTCACCAGAGCCACATCCTAGGTGCAGCAGGACCTTTGCATTCTGCCAGTGCTGGGAGTATCTATCTGCGCACAGGAGGTGCTTGAGAGCAGGAAAAGAAGCCTGCAGGAAAGGGTTCCAGCAGCTACTCCTGCTCACAGAGTCAGCCTTGTCTTCTATGAGAGCAGGAAAAGAAGCCTGTGAGAAAGGGTTCCAGCAGCTCCTCCTGCTCCCAGAGGCGGCCTCCTGCTCCAGGCGTGGAGGTCTCTCTGCAACTGGACATCTGGGCTGTTTGCTCCTGATGTGCTCCCCAGGATGGGCTTAATGGGCGGGCAGGGGGTGCGAGGACCAGGGGGCGGCTTCAAAGGGTACAGCAACCAAAGCTTCCAAACTCAGCACTTGTGCTTCGGTCTCTCCATGCTGCCACCTGCCCTAGGATTTATTCATAGTGTTAAATTACCAGTTTATGCAAATGATGTTTCATTAAAGCTCAACTTTTTGAAAGTTCATGCCTTTTTTAGCTCCCTAATGTTAGATGGTGTTTTTGAGGCGATCCTGAATATCTCTGATAGTTGTGTCTTTTTGTTGTGGTTGTTTGTGTGATTGAGTTACCACCAAATCAACTGTTATTGGAAACCTTTCAGGTATGGCTTTTAGAAGACATTGACCTACTCTTGCCTGTTTTGATTCTCCAGTGTATTGTGGAAAGAGGGATCATGTAGTTTCATTTCTCCAGCAGATAAGTCACCTTTTGCCATCAAGGTTTTGGAATCAGAGTTTCCAAAAATTATGTGTGCAAGTTGATATGCTGGTACTTTAGCTAATCTGGGTGTCAAAACAGAATGCCATAGACTAGGTAGCATAGAAAATTGATTTCTCACAGTTCTGGAGATGGTAAAATCCAAGGTCAGATGTTCAGCAGATTCTGTGTCTGCAGAGGGCTGGCTTCCTGGTTCATAGACAGCCATCTTTTTCCTGTGTCCCTACATGACAGAAGGGATGAGGGAGCTCTCTGCAGTCCCTTTGATAGGGGCACCAATTCCATTCATGAGGTCCCTGCCTTCATGAACTTATTCACCTGCCAAGGCCCCTCCTCCAAATACCATCTTACAGAATTAGAATTCGACACATGAATTTGAGGAGGACAGTAACATCTGGTTTATAGCATCATGTCACTCTAGGCCATATGCACTCACAGGAAATCTATAATCTTCTATTAAGTATTTCCTGGTCCTTTCTGGGTTTAGAGATTTTTTTTTTTTTTTGGCTTTAAGAAAAATGATCTTTTATTTGATCCAGGGTTTTTTCACAGAAAAGCACTGTGAGTTCACACACTTGCTAAAAAGATACAGAAATGAGAGTCGCGGGTTGGCTCCAAAGCCTGTTAATCCAAAGCCACCTTTGGAGGCTGAAAAACGGGCGGAATCAAACGAGGTTCAGGAAGATCGAGAAACCAATCCCCTGGGATTAACACAGTTGAAACCCCGGTCTCTAACTAAAAAATACAAAAAAAACTAGCCGGGCGAGGTGCGGGGGCGCCTGTAGTCCCCAGCTTACTTCCAGGGAAGCCTGGCAGGCAGGAGAATGGCGTAAACCCTCACGGAGGCAGAGCTTGCAGCGAGCTGAGATCCGGGCACTGCACCTCCAG